CTGTTATTCTGAGGCTCCTATTTGCAAACTACAAACATTCTGAGAGCTCCACACAACCTCCACAGCCACAGCCTCTCTCCTAGTGTCCTGCAGATTACTCAGTAGTTGATAGGCCTGAGGGGCCGGGTCTCGTTCGAGATAGAGCAAAACATAGGCTGAGAAAGGTGGCCCCTTGCTGGCTGCACAGAGACCAGTTCCCAGCAGACAGAGGCCACCGAGGCCACAGTGTGCCCCTTCCACATGCAGTCCTATGTCACAGTTTACATTCAGGACACCGGTTAACCTATATCCTCTCCCCTTCGACAGCAAGGACAAAATCAGAGCTGTGGTATCGAAGGAACATTAATAGTGATTTCTTTGGTCCACTAGACCTGTTAAGGGAGAGGAGGGAGAGGAAAGGAAAGGAAAGATGGTCACACTCTCTTTAGATATGTTCCTGGGCTGGAGGAACTTCCCAATGCTAGGACAAGTTTTGCATTTTTTTAAAAAACAAGCTAAACACTTTGAAATCTGATTTTAAGGATGCATATGACAACCAGGAAGGAAGCAGGCTGCAAAACAACCTTGCTAAAAAATGCACCAGAAGGAGGAAGTATTTGAAAAACTATCGAGAAGAGTGTTTAATAACACACACAGCCCATAACACTATTTTAAAAAAAGCATTTATTTATCAACCACCTAAAACACCAGAGTATCACAAATATCAGAGTTCAAAAGCAATTTACACCAACATTTATGACATGATTATGTACAACTATTGTCCACGGAATGACCAGCCCCGTTCTTAGGACACCCCTGCCTGGGATGCTTGGCAACAAGAAAGAACCAGCACAGCACTGGACTGAACCGGGGAGCTGCCTGGTCCTACCCACTCATAAATCAGGGGTGCAGGAGAGTGAGCCCTGCTACCTATGAGGCGCCTTCTATCCCAAAGAGTCTAAAGCAAAATAAGAGTTCATATCAGGGGGACTGGCTGTTGGCCTCTCTTCTCTCCCGAATCTCCTCTCTCTTCCCCTTCATATACCTGCTTTCCTTAAAGCATGGACATGAATTGACCTTCGCTGTGCTCACGGGCGCGCGCTATCCGACGGTTACTAAGGGACCAGTGAGACCACCTGCATCGACGCGGATCAATCTCAGACACGGTGTGAGGAAAGCAAGCTGCAGAACAATCTAGCTGGCCTTAGGGCTGCCCTACATCCCTCAGCTACAGGCCGTTTAGAGATACAAGGAGCATAGCCCCAGGGGCCTCTCGGCTTTCAGGGAGCGCCTGTGGAGAGAGGGCGGAAAGATGGCCAAGGAGGGATGGAAGGGGGTTTGAACTGCGTCTGCATTTTTACTCAAAAAATAACTGATGCCCCAAAAATGATTTTTGACCTTCCCTGGTGCAGGAGTAAGCCTCCTCTGGAGACGCCTACCACCCACTGCTCAGCTTCTCAGAGCTCGTACGAGACCCCTCCCGGGGCCCCCAGAGCTGGTCCTGCCCCGGCACCTCCCAGCAGCGACGGAGGGAAACCTCAGCCCGGTGCACACCTTTCTCTGAACACAAGCTGGACAGCCCTGTGCTCAGGTGACAGCCACACTGCCGTCCTGCGCATGCAGCGCAGGACTTAACTGTCCTCTCCCCGTGGAGCAGGCTCTTCCAAGCTCAAGCACAATAGTCTCACTGGGCTTTCGAGGGTGACTACCGTCCTGCCTTGTCTCGGACCCAGGGTGGGGGGAGATTCCGAGGTTTTGGTTGGAAATGAGTGGTCACCCTGGTTCTCTATAGCGATCCAGAAGACGTCAGCTACTGTCCACCGTTTTACTAAATTTCAAGAACAAGAAACAGGCCATAAAAATGCATCTGTGAGACAAATATTTTCCCCTGCAGTCTAAAGCTTTTTAACATAACAAGCACCTAAAATCTTTTACAGGATCTTTCATTGAGAACAAACTAGTTTGTTCTGGTTGCTACTCCCATTTCATCAAGTCAGGGAGGAGGCAGCCATTCCTTTCCAAAGTCCTGAGGCAACTGTCAGGACCTTTCACCCTGGATATTTTGAAATTGGTTCATTCACTAGCCTCACTCTGGGTCCCTCGAAACTGAAAAAGCCAGCGTAGTTGAGAGTAATAATGAGAGAGGGGGGAAATGGCCCAAGCCAACAGCATTTTCCAGAAAATGTAACTCCTGTGTTAAAGCAGATTAATATTTAAAAAGAGACAGAGGAAATAAGAGGAAGAAAGGAATTCTCACCAGTAACTGAAACCAAGTGTCGAAGTGGAGAATTAAGCTACAGCCCTGGACAGGTGGCACAGAGCCTCTGGGACGGGGTTAGACGCTCTGCGGGGAAGGGGGCCCCACTCCGGCCTGGGCCGCGTCACAGTGGTTCCTGGTAAGTCTTCATTATTGCCCGAGGATAATATACCCCAAACACTTTGCATCTATAAGATGCATAAATCACCGCAGTGCATGAAACAGCCTGCTGTCCACAGGGAGTCGCCGTGACTGGCTGACGGGGTTCCTTGCGCTCGCTCCCGGCCTAAGTCGCGGTGGTCTGCGGACGGCCTCCCGCACAGAGTAACCCTGCGTGGCTCGGTGGGCGCACGGCGAGCCCGGGAGTTCTTCAGTTTATGTGTATTTGTAGAAAAGTGAAATGTGTGGGAAAAGTAAGTCAAACTCTTCCTTTGGACACTTTTATGGAAGGGAATTGCCCTTTTATACTGTTTCCATTTTCTGTAGTTAATATGGATTATTTTATCATCAGAAACGTCTTTTAAAAATAAAAAATAAAAAGACATTCTGATGCTTCATTGCTCACTAAGCTAGAGAAATGCTACAATCTCTCTAATGCAGGGGATGCACAGTTTGTTGAATGATCAAAGGCACAGATTCAGGTAAGAGGAGCACATATTTGAGAACTGTCAACTCGTTTGCTGAGCCTGGAGGTAACAGCGGTCGTTTTGTGGTATGACCGAAATATCAGGTGCTGTACTTTTCCAACAACAAACAAGTAAGCAATCGGGTTTTACTTAGGCAAGTGGAGATCCTAGTGGTTCTATAAAAAGATGTGTTTGGAGAAAGCCCGGTTGTGTATTTCCCTAATAATGAATGATGAACATGTGAAAGCATTATTGGCACGAGGAAGCTCATAATATACACAATAAGCAAAAAGAGCCCACTGAGTCTGCAGTTCTGCAAGCGTGAAGCCCTGCAGTCTTCCCTAAGAGAGGCCACCAATTCGAAAGCACTGGCTCCGCCCTCAGCGTTGTCATGGACAACTTGTTGGGAGCCAAACAAAACAAATAGGGCGTGAGGGGAAATGTCACTGAGTTTCCCAAATATAGCTCTCGTACTTGGATTGTTGATCTGTCTTTTTTTCCTTCTTTAAGAAGAAGAAGAAAAAAAGTGTAAGCAACAATTTCTATAGAATAAGGCCAAAAGAGGCCAAAAGAATCTTAATCAATCATTATTAGACGTGGAGAAGATAAAAACGCAGTATTCAAGTGGACCTGACTCTACAGGCAAGGGAAGCAGGAGCAAAGGTAAACAACTTGACTACATCTAACTACCCCGCCAAAGCTTCTGCACAGTGAAGGAAGACACCACAAAAATGAAAAGGCAGCTTACTAAATGGGAAAAGATATTTGAAAATCATATATCTGGCAAGGGGTTAATAGCCAAAATATATTAAAAAAACTCATACAATTCAACAACATGAAAACAAAATGGGCAGAGGATCTGAATAGACATTTTTCCAGAGGAGACATACAGATGACCAACAGACACATGAAAAGATGTTCATCATTAATTATTAGGGAAATACAAAATAAAACCACAATGAGATATCACCTCACATCTGTTAGAATGGCTATTATCAAAAAGACAATAAAAAATGCTGCAGAGGATACAGAGAAAAGGGAAGCCTTGTACGCTTTTGGTGGGAATGTAAGTTGGTGCAGCCACTATGGAAAGCAGTATGGAGATTATTCAAAAAATTAATACTAGAACTACCATATGCCTCAGCAATCCCACTTCTGGGTATTTAACTAAAGAAATCCCAAACACTAATTCGAAAAGGTATATGCACCCCTATGTTCACTGCAGCATTATTTACAACATCTGAGAAATGGAAACAACCTAAGTGTCCCTCAGTGGAGGAATGGATAAAGATGCGGTATATATACAGAAGGGAATATTATGGGGCCATAAAAAGAGATAGAATCTTGCCATTCACGACAACATGGATGGACCTTGAGGGTATTATGCTAAGTGAAATAAGTCAGATGGAGAATGACAAATAACGTATCATTTCATTCATATGTGGACTCTAAAGAAAAAAACAAACTCATAGATAGTGAGAACAGATTGGTGGTTACCAGAGAGGAAAGGGGTTGGGGGGTGCGCAATGGGTGAAGGGGTTCAATTGTGTGGTGAAAGATGTTAGACTTTTGGAGGTGACCACTCACTTTGTAGTGCATACAGATGTCGAATTACAATGTTGTACACCTACAACATATATAATGTTATGTGGCAATCTTACATGGATTTTAAAAAACCTACTGCTCAAGGGTAGCCCTAATGCTTTTGGCTCAAGAAAATAGCAACAGAGTCTACCAACTGGTTTCCAGGGACACCCAAAGAGAGAAAGCAAACAGGGCAGTGAAAGGCAGGGCTTGGGAGCCTACCCTGGGGTCAGATCCAGGCCAGCTGGGGAGATGAGCCACCCCCAAAGCTGGAGGCACCGTGGCCCAGCCTCAGCCGGAGATTCCTTTCTTTCTATAAGCAAGCATTTCTACAGCAGAAGCATCTCCTACGTGCGCTCATTCATTTCTTTTGCCGGCAGGGTAGCCTCAAATTTAGGTTTTACTTTCCTGAGAAATAATACAACACTTAAGTGCTCTCACCACTCTAGCTAGTGGTTAACACTGAAACACAAGTTTTCGCAGTCTTCCAGCAAGAAATAATCCATATCAAATAAAATCTTGCATTTAAGTGCATGTAAACACTCTTTGGTGAACTTTCACAGTTGTCATTAATGTTGGCAGTCCGCAGGGGAGCCTGAAGACCACTGGCCGTCCTTTTGGGATAAGCTCCTCTGTCAATCAGATGGAGCCGATTTTCACATATTCTTGCTGAGATTCTTCTCAAGTGTTGTTGAAGAAAAACAGGGCTTCACTGAGCTAGGATTGTTTGGGTTTGTCAGTGTCGGATATTTACAATAAAACAAAATCACTGGACGCTGCTCATTCTTGAATGGAGGAGTGGCGAATGGATCTGTGATAATCCTCGGGACTGCTCATGTGTTCAGGTAAATCATAGCCCCTCAGGAAGTGTCCACTGTTTTGTTGAGCAAAATAATAGAGTTGTCTGGCCAGTAGAGGTTCGACCTTTAATAAGAGATTTGAAGAAGACGTTACTAAGATATTCTTCTTAACATCCTGCAGGTGGCTCATCATTAAATACCTTACTATACAGAAGGGTGTAGTGAAATTAAGTCCAAGGTCAGGTGCTATAACACGTCACAAATTTTATGTTTGGGGCCTCCAAAGAACTCGTTGTTAGTCCTTCCATACATCAACCTCCAAACAGAACCTACTTAATTCTGGGTTTCCGTTGAAGTTAAAGATGGTACTTTTAAATCACCTGTCACTAGAAATTTACATTTAACTGACACTGAAACAAGGTCATATTTAGTGTAATTTAGGCCACTTTGACAGGGATGAGGGACTCATCCTGACCGGTTTACGGTTCCAGGATGACCCAGGCCACCTGTGTTTCTTAACCAAAGAGAAAAGAGAGGGAGCGGAATCAAAGACAAAACTGCTACTGTGGGAAAATACAGGTTAATTGACCCCAAATTCATCTAGCTTGGTTATTAGCGTGGACTGCATTCAATAAAAAATTTAATTTTCAGCTTTTCCTAAATTTACAACATCTAAGAAAACTGAGTGCTTTCAGTCAACTGTGCTATTAAATTGAGCCTTCAAGTTATTTGATATACAGAAACTTAAGCATAACTCAGGAAGCACCTGAAATAATTGGTTGGAACTCCCGGGTGTACACCCCGTTTCCCTTTGCCACACCATACAGTGCCACTTTTGGGGTCCTCACCTGGGGAACCCCCCCTTCCTAGTTTACAAGAAAGCTGGTACATCCCAAACCCTTGGAACCAGATTGATGTGGGAGTCTGTCACCAACTTCTTAAATGTTAGTTATCAATGCCAAGTTTATTTAGTCATTTAACAACCCCAGTTGTTAACAGGATTATATTAGTAATTATATCAATAACTGGAGAGGATTCATGAGAAAAGTCTGACGTCTATGAGATTACATTTCTGTTTATTGGTTGGTTCATCATTTTACAATCAGGAAGGGGGACGGCATGTTTAAGATTAGATAGTGTTTTATTTGAGTTTTCACTAAGAAACATTATCAGAACTAAGATATGACCTGAATTTTTGTATTACTGGGTATAATTTTTTACCTTTGCTGCTCATTACCTGGGCCCATTAATAATTCCTGAAGGTATGTAGCAATGCAAAGCTTTCAAATTCTAAAGTCCAAGGTACTGAAAACTCTTCTCTGTGGCAAATTAATGCTAAATGTTATCTATAGAAACCTCTTATTCTTTCTTATGAAAACCTGTTTACTTGCCACGGTTGAACTCTTACACAGGGCTCTACCGTGGTCTGACCTTCCAGCAGTCCTTAAAGATTTAGCTTCCTCCAAATAACACATGGCTCTTGTTTCTAAAAATTATATATTTTTTAAATCCAGAAATAAAAGAGGATTTGGGAAACACCTGAAGCAACTACTAAATACACACTTGGGAAAAACTTCTCTATCCAGTGAAAATCAGCATTTTAAACGCAATATGAAACTGCAGAATTTTAAAGGGCAACTTTTAGCATCAATCCTTTAAAGTCCTTATAAAATGGGAATAGGACAATTTCCTTGAAAAATAAAAAAGATGGGAGAAATGAAGCCCAAGGTTGGAGGTTAGCTGCACTTCCGATGAGCAGGTCTCTAGGGCCGGGAACAGGATGGGCCTCTGGCCGCACCCCCTGCGCCGTTCACTGGGTCCCATGTCCTCCCTCACCATTTTCCCAGGTTGCCTGACGTTTACTTTCATTTGAGACCTCTCTAAATGGACACCTGTCCTCGAGGAAAAACAGGGAGACAATCCCTGGAATGTGACTGATACTCACGTGAGCAGTAATGAGCTTCCTTTGCCTTTGGGGATCTGGAAACTCCTCCCCGAAGCACAGAGTCACCTGGAATCTTGGCAGCGGGCGGCCATGGTGAGCAAACACTTGCAGCTCTAGAGAAAGCCCACGAGGAAAAACAGAAAACATGTCAGACACCCTCCCCATTGGGCACGCCAGGCTAAAACAGGGAGCTTCTGAGGACTAGAATAGGAACGAGTGCTCGGTTTCTCCAAGCGGGCTCTTAGCCTCAGGCCCGGGGCAGGAGCCTGTGCGCGCTCCTGTGTGCGGGTCCCTGAGAGCGCACAGGGGCCCCGGGCTCCCCAAGGGGAATAAACCTTCAGGTTAAGAACCTCGCTTTGCAACACTGAACCCATGAGGATGCAAAAGGTGGCAGAACGGAGTGAAGAAGAGAAAGGAATAGAAATACAGCCATGTGAAGGCAAGAAAATAATTTATACAAAGAAGAAACTTTCTTTTAAAACAATCGAAATTTCTGACTCGTCCCAGTGTTACTTAAAATCCTCATCTCAAAACTGCTGAGCCCTCACGATCCAGTGTTTGTGGCCTAGGACCCTGTGTGACTTAGGCTCCATCGACAGTGTTTGATGTTATCTTGGAGACAGAGCCCCAGTTCTGGGCAGCGGCGTCCCACTTGGCATCAGGCCCAAAAGTGTGACTTTAGCAGACCTGTCTCGTCTTTGGTGGCAGACAATGGTTTGAGAAGAGAAGGGTAGCGATGAAGCACTAGGGGGCCCACTTTTGTGGGAGTCACTCCTACCCTCAGGATGCAAAACAGGGACAGAGCACTGTGGAAAGATGTGCTCAGCCCTGACGCTGAGCCTTGTCCCCTCACCCACATTCAAGGCAACTCAGCCTCTAGTGGCTCCGCTTCTTTCCTTTGGACTCAAATGTCATGTCTGCAAAAGAAGCGCTGACAGCCTCTGCCGACTTCTGAGGAACAGCAGCTGCTGCTGTTATCAGATCTGCACCCCAGCCTTGCCTCCGGGGCTGTCCCTAGCAGCCTGCAAATCCCGACTGGGTAGATAGCAAAGATTTCCACTGTTCTCTTCAACTGAAGAGAAGTTTCTAGCTCACTCACTGGACCATCTGACTTCCTGCTTGTTTTTTCTTCCAGAATTCAAATCACACCTCACCGACTTAGAGCTTGTAAAAGCATTTACGCTGGGAGGTCTGAGACGACACCCGAAGGTTACACCCGCAGGAGCTCCTCAGAATGTGAGCTGAGCGGTGCAGCGCTCGGAAAAGGCCCTGCCTCCCAGCTGGCTGACCTGAGGGCGCCCGCGATGGCACCGGGCTGGGCCACAGGCTCAGCAACGCAGGCTCCTCCCCGCGCCTCCTGAACACTCCAGATAAGAGCCTGCTGTGGACAAAAGCACAGCTCTTGGCTACGGAAGAAGGGAAAAGAAACCAGAACAACTCTTGCTCACAGATAAGTCTTAAATTCTAGGCAAGCGGATTCACAGCTGAGGATGCTGACAGCCGGCATCCTGCCTGCCCGCTCCTTGCCTGTATCTACCTCTCAGTTCGCTGTGACTCAAACAGGAGCTTGTAGCCTCATTAGAATGGGAGGAATCGACCTTCCTAAGATGCCTGGGGAGAGAAACTCAGAGAAACAAGGGCCATATCTCTGGGTCCCTTAATTAAAGCCCTACCTCTGTGGTAGCTTCTGGACCCAAAGAAATCAAGATCCACAGTCTCTGAGGAGATCCAAACCCAGTGGGCTCCTTCAGACCCCACCGCAGAACAGGAGGTACAGACAGGCGCCCCTCAGTGGCTCTCACGAGCCCGCCACGACCACCATGCTGGGCTCCAGACAGGTGGACAGAGAGAACAGTCCCAACACTGGCCTGGAGGCAATTCTGCAGCTCCGTCAGGGAGGGGCACTCAAACCCAGGTGGCTTTCTCACCTTGGCTGCCTCGGGGAACCAGCATCCAGTGCTCCCTCTTCTTGCCACACCTCTGCGGCAGGGTTAGCCATCAAGGGAGGTATTTGTTTGGGGCACCAAAAGAGAACTTGAATGAGCCCAAGTGAATTTGGGCAACTTAAACCCAAAAGGCTGAGCCAATGCTAATGGTGCTAGGGTAAAATGAGCTTCCTATTTTTACTTCAAATGGACTGAGTTAAGAGGCACGTTCAGGGAAAGGAGAGGCACAAGGAAACTCAAAGACAGGGTGTTTCTGAAGGGGACACTTTGAAAATAGTAGGTTGGGATAAAGTAGAGAAAGAACTGACAGTTAGTGGGCAGCTTAGTACAGCTCCCCCCTCTCCAAAGTGGCCGTGTCCACACGGATGGCCACATGGACACCTTGCGTGAAGCTCCAACAATAACGTCACCAGTAGCTACACAGGCCAGCCCAGGGCTAATTTAATTGTCATGAAATCAAGAGTAGGAAAACAAACCTTACTGGTTCTGGAAAATGTGACTTGAAACACACATATAGAGATAGCTCAAAGCCTTCTCATAATTTCCCTTCAAAATCAGTTCAGCAGGCTGCAGCCCGGGCCCACCTGCTGGAGGGCACCTGCACCAGGATGACGCATCTTATCACCAATATACTTTCCCTAAGGACCTTGAAGGAGCCGAAACAGAAACAGATGTGCTCGCTGGGGCCATCCTGCCAATAAAACCTTATTACTAGGTGACTGTTGAATTCCAGAACTTCAAGTCAGCACCTGGACCACAGTCCCCCTGACCAACCTCCCTCCTCTTCACACCCTTCTGCTGATGGAGACAAGCAGGTGGTAAAAGGAGAAGTGAGATGCAATCCAAGCAAAAAACCTATTCTGGGATCATGCCCAGTGGGTGGGCTCAGGGGTCAACAGGAGACCTCTGCCCAGGCAAGTGACCTGCTGTTTTGACCACTGTGGCAGACACACCTGCCCTCCCTTACTCTCTGTAAGGCTCACAGGTCAGGGGCACTCTGTTCTAACCAATAATTAGGTGCATTACCTGATAAAAACTGCTGTGTGTCAAACAGCTTGCAGGTCTGGTCTCTCTCCAGTTTGTTGGGCCGGTCGCTGCACAAGGCCAATGGCCCGTCCCAGTAGATCCTGCTCTGGCAGAGTCTTTTGGCATAGAGCCCATCGGGGGCCATCCAGAGGACCACACCCCTTTCCAGGTGACTCAGCAGCTTCTCGATGTTTTTCCTCTGACCATTGTCCTCTGGGTAGGGGAAGAGAACCTGGTCCAGGTTACTGGCATCATAGGTGTGCCCGTGGGAGATCCGACAGCCTTCGGGGCTGGCCGTGGTCAACTCTTTCACTAGGATTTCCCGGTAATACAGGCAGATGTGGAGCCGGCAGTCTGCAAACACAGAACACTTAGGGTCAGTGCTAAGGGGCTGAGGAGCACTGCACACCCATCCCGATGCCAGACCACCAGCCAGAGCGGAGTACTTGGCGGGACACTGCTGTCCCAAGCTGCTCCGTGGGCAGAGTAAGTTCCAGGGTGGAGGAATCCTGGGATGTCGTGTGCTTTTCTCTCCCTCCCCGAGGCTCCCAGACATCGAGAAGTTAGAGAAGGCCCACAGGAAGGCAATCTGATGCTGACTAACTCCACATTTCCCATATTCATGTGACCATGGTTTTTTTGGGGGGTCAAGGAGTATACCTTTCATGAGTTTTCTGCAAAATACATTTGACTTGTATTAGTTAAGAACTTCCTGCTTTTTTTTTTTTTTCCCCTTTGGTGATGAAGGTAGTGGTAATGTCTAAAATACCAAGTCATGTACCACTGAACAAAAATTCATCTTTAGGCATGGCAATCAATTCTGACTTTGGAGAAAGTTTACTTCCTAAGTTTAATTCCTACCAGCAGAAGGAGTAAAATGATGTTTCGGGGGGAAAAGGCAAATATGTTCCCATATCTGAAACTACCCTAAAATATCAATAAGATGCCATTAAGTTAAAATAATTATATATAAGTTTGAAAATAACTCAAAAACAATGCTTTCTAAAACATTAAGAGAGATGAACTCATTTATGAAACTTTGCCGATTCCAGAACCTTCTCTAACTATGACCCACAGACTGGAAGGACCAAGCTAGGTTTGCAAAGGGCCCCCTCACTGAAATACACAAAGCATCATGGATAGGCAAAAGCCACTCATGGGCAACTGCATGGATTTAAACAGGAACGGGAGTTGCAGATGTCTAATAAATGTACTAGATTAATTACTCTGTCTTGTGCATGCCCAAAACAGAAACCCACAAAACCCTCCTACTCTTCAATGGCAGGTCTTGAGACTTGAACCCACATAACTATCTCAATTCTCCTCTTCGATTTCTGCTGTCGTAAACATTGGCGGAGAGCTAGCTGGGAGGGTGCACCCTCAGGAGAGTGGGCGTTGGCCATTAGAGGTGACTTTCGGGGCAGGTTTCATTTCATTGAATGTCATCAGAAATCACAAGGTCACAGTGATATAAATAGCTGTTTATTTCCTACTCTTCAGGCACCCACACAAGTTGTAGGTGCTTAAGAAAGGGTCTGAAAGTTTCTAAAAACAAACACCAGCCTTTCTGCTTGGAAACTGTCCTCTCCCCATCACTCAGGAGCATCTGAGAAGGGCCCCTCATTCAGAACTTTGGAACCTGAAAGAACGGAACCATAAAAACTACAGTTCCCCTGGGAGTGAGAAAGGTGCCCCCAACTCTATCTCCCTGAAACCTTGAGAATTTAACTTATGTTTTCCATCACTGACTTATGAAGAAGTTGGGGGGTGGCAAGGAATCTGGAAACTTAAGCTTTTCATTTTTAATATAATTACAAGTCCCATTTTTAAACAATGCAACACATTATCTAAAAAAAAACATGCATATACCACATGTGGTTAGTACACCTTGAGGCCCTTCCTTAATGCAGGTCAGCTCTCTGAGGTGCCAGGAGTCTTTTAGAAATGAAACTTTACAAATCAGATCTAATCCATATCTTTTACAAGTATGTCAAAGTTCAGAGGAAGGCTGCAATGCTCATACAGATGCGGTGAAGGCAAAGCAGCCAGAACTAGGGTCCCCAGGAAGTGGATGGTGAGACCTGTTTGTGGCTAAACCTAGAAGGATGATCAGCTTTTTAGATGAGAAGTCCTGGTGCCTTTTTCTAAGAAGGTGGACTACACTGCGAGTCTGTGAGCTGAAGGGGCCCCCGTAAGTGAAACTGGAGTGCCCGCATATTCTAGGAAATTCAGAGAGATGCCTGAAGGACTTAAACGACAAAGCCAGCACCTAGCACTGCATCAGGATCACAAGCTGGCTGCTCAGTGCTAAGGCCTCTAACGGAGCTCCTCACTCACACAGACGGGAGTCAGGTGTGTCCACACACATCAGGCACCAGCTGAAGGAAAGCCAGTCCCAGGGCTGTGCTCACGGCCTGTCCCATCAAGTGTCCCCAGACGTGAGGGCGAGTGCCACATACGCCGGCCTCCTGTGGTGCCTCCAACCGAACCGCACACTCACCTGAGAGGGCCAAGGCTTCGGCAGACCTTATGCTTGGCTCTATGGGGATTCCAGGGGCCTGGGACTCAGGCGGGGCACAAGCATAAAAGGTTCCGGTCACCTGGCAACCTGCATTTGCAAATAAAAGTCAGAGTTTGTCCACAAATAGGGACATCTCCTCTCCCTGAGGTGTGGCCACTTAGCCCCTGGTGGGGGTGCACCAACCCTGGAGGGAAGGGCTTCAGGCCCCTCCAGAGCTGACCACCAGGCAAAGGCAAGCTGAAGTCCTGTGGGAAAAACCAAAGTCCAAGGAGGAAGGAGTATTTTGACAGCTTTGGAAGGAAACTTGAATTCTCCCTCTGTAACTTCCTTCTTTTCTTCCTTCCTCCCTCCCTTCCTTTCTTCCTTCCTGCTCATTAACACCTTCATCACCACACACAACTACCATTGTGGTGCATGTGTGTGGTGAGAACATTTCAGATCTTTTCTCTTAGCCACTTTCAATATCATACAGCATTGTTAACTGGTTGCCACACTGCACATTAGATCCCCAGAACTTACTCATCTTATAATTGGGAGTTTGTACCCTGTGACCACATCCCTCCATAATTGGTAAACAGGGAAATGGAGACTCAGAGAGATGAACTGATTTACCCTGTTCACACAGCAAGTTCACGGCCACACTGTGAGCTCAGGTCTGCACGAGTTCACACGCCAAAGAGCCCAGTGAAAAGCTGGCACGTTATTTAATGGCACCTACTGCTTCGAACTACATCTGCCTGTCCCATCTTTTTTCACTGTTCTAGGCACTGTCTCTTTATTGGGTATTAGTTCAGCACGGCCTGAGCACGCACACAGTCTGAATTTCAGAAGCTGGTTTAAAGTTAGCGGATTCCTCCACTAGGACACAGAAAACCAATCTCTGTCGCAAGTCATCCTTGAAAGCTAATAAAACTGAATTCTGAGTCTTTCTGTAAACATGCGACTCAATACAAGTCTTAAATAATGACGCACGTCTTCAGTGCCACACGCCAAGAGTGGCCTGAACAGGACTAGGGAAACGGGAACTGCCCAAGCATTCCCAGAACATACAAAAGAATTTATGCATTGATCCTTCTCAGGATTTCTACTTAAATAACTAACCCAAAAGTTCTAGAAGTTTGGTCCTGGCGGGTAGCTCAGTTGGTTAGAGCGTTGTGCCAATACTCCAAGGTTGTGGGCTCGAGGTTTGCTCAGGGCACATATAAGAATTAACCAGTGATGCATGAATAAGTGGAACAACAAATCGATGTTTCTCTCTCTCTTTAAAAATCAATAAATACTTTTGAAAAAAAAGTTCTAAAAGCTTGTGTTTGCTGTACTGAAGATACCATGTGAAATTCTCTCTTCAGAGAATTAACTGATCAGTGCTTCTGCTGAGAGAGCTCGTCTTGATGCCCTAGGGGCATGGAGCCACGTCTCATCAAGAACAGGTCAAGCCCTTTGGGATCCAAACCAGCACTATGCACCCTGTGAAGACTTGTTGTTTTTTTCATAGCATGTATTCAATCCCTTCCTCTTATCACCTCTAATCCCAAGAACAACTACAATAGGCACACCACTGTTAAAGAGAAATACATCACTCAACAATCTCCTGGTGTCCCTGTAGAGGAAGGGGCTGGGCACAGCTGGAGTAAGCCCATTTTACAGATACGTACAGAAACAGATAAAGCAAAATATTGTGGCCTTCAGTCAACATTAAGGGACGATCCGGGACGAAAGGCTGCTAAAATCTACTATTTTTTTTTTTTTGCCAAAGATTAAAAATAAAGCTTAAGATTATTCACCTTGGATGAAAAATGTTAACCTATTGAACAGATAATTTAAAAAAACAGAGCTAACCAGTTTGATATCTGACATCCCCTGTCTTAAGTGGAAGGCTGCGCTTTGGCGTTAGGCAATCTGAAAGGATCCCAGCCCTTCATGCTCATAGAGTGCATTCTGTGAGCTTGACTCTATCAAAAATGGAGTAGTTTTTAGCTCCCTGGAATGATCCCTGTGATGTTTAAATAGATTCCACATAAGGCAGTTGGTAAGCATAGGTTCTAGCACATAGTGGACAGGTGTCGCTAACCCTTGGCATCCTTCCTCCGAGGACCTTACCATCCCACAGGCCATCTTTCCCAGTGGTTCTGATAGGAGAGAGTGCTGTGGTCCTGCTCAGAAGGACCGAACAGGAGGCACAAGGCCCGTTTGCCAGGTTTGCTCTGCTGGCTCAAATGGCAGCCACAAGAACCAGCCCCAGCACAGTCCTCACCATTTTCACAAGCCGGGCCTTGCCAGTGGTGGCTTCGGGGTCCAAACGTCACAGGACATTGGTATGGGATGTCGGGGTGAGGCTGGTCAGGGACGTACTCCCTCCAGCTTCGGTCGTGGGGTGGCATCATGTAGTTATGAACCTGCTAAAGAGGCAAAGGCAACCAGGTCAGCACAGAACAGCTCCTGGGCATTGAGAAAAGGGAGCAGATGCTTTTATACCCTCCCAAACTCCTCAGGCAATCTCTTATTCGGTTGGCAGCCAACTCACTTTATCATCTGAAAGACTTTGGAGTGAGTGGCTCATCACACTAGGTGAAAACTAGCCATAAAGAATCAAAGAGGCACAATGGAGACAGTGTTATAAAGTGATGATTTATGTGAAGCTCTATCATATGGTTAAACCTGGCACCAAAAGTCCTGTAGAGAAACTTGCCTTCTCCCCACCAAAGTGAATGCAACAGAGCTCTGATTCACAGCAGAAAAGCCTAAGGAGGTCAGCTGCCCTGTGGTTTCACATGATATAAGTACTACTTCCAAAATCTTCAACTTCCACAACAGGTCGTTTCCCAGATTCCAGAACCAGTAGAAGTCTACACCAACAGGCAGACACACCCAGCCTCCCTCACTTCAAACCAGCACCGAGAGCCCACCAGGTGGAAAGTGAGGCCTTCATTCAACAGCCAGGGATTTGGTCTGGCTATTTGACCAATAGCAGAAACAAAGTGATGCTGGTTTTGTTTGTGTACTTCCCGGCCTTCCCTTCTAGAAGCCCGGCACCTGCACCGTACCTGAGCTGGGAGTGAGGTGTAAGGAGTCGGCATGGTGTAGGGGTGGCTCATGGCCATCTGTGGGTCCTCCAGGGTGAGCTGCTTTGCTCCTATGTGTTTTTGCAAAAGAGAAATGGCACAGTGTGAAAAAAGGAACCAACATAACTAAACATCAAATCTTTGAAAAATGTCTGAGAATTCAATTCCTAGAGTGCACAACAGTGTTGACAAATAAGACATTTTCCAGCAATTCCCTTGGGCCATTCTTTGGTCATTCCATTAAACTGACTTGTACAAGGTCCCATGGTGTGTGAATGCACCTGGTGACAGACAGGGCCCCACCAGCAAAATGTGCTGCAAATGAGGCCACCTGTAGGGTGTTACAGTGCAGGTTCCTGGGCTCTACTCTCACACAGTCAGCATGTTGAAAAGAGGGAATGTGGATTTGAATAAGCAGCCCAGCTGACCACCGTGCACCCTAAAAGTTGACAGTTTCATTACCATAAATAGTAGTAATGTATAAATATATGCATGCGTCCCCCTACAAAAGGTTCATCATGAAAGACTAATAAGCAAAGCTTCCAACAAGTTTCCCATTTTCTTGTTAGGAAACTTGGCCCGTGACTTAATAGAACTAACTGGAAAACACACATGTGTGCACACACGTGCACACATGCAGGTGCAGACATGGAGTCTGAGAGAGTATCCTACACTCATAACACAGGGATTTCTTAGTGACCAGAGGATTCGGACAATGAGCCTGCTGGGCTTGACCATGGGGCAGATGGCAGGCACGCTATAAAAGACAAAATAGAAAAGTGAGCTTCAGAATGAAATTAAGGTGCTACATGTGTCAGGCCGCCAATATCCTGTGACCCAGACCCAGGAAGTCCTACCTTTCTTGGCTCCCTCGGGAACAATCCTGTATACTTTGTAGGGGTCCGAGATGTCCAGCTGGCTCCTCTCCACCAGCTCCTCAAAGTCATTGCTCTTGTTCAAAGCACATCGTAAACGTGTCTTCCAGGTAGGCGGGTCTGGCTTGTCGATGCCTTCTCGGAATTTTCCTTTAAATAGTGCCCAAGCCTGGTGGGAAAGAAGCGGGGAAAAGTTACAATACAAGGTCTTTTAAAAAATAACCTGGGAATTGTATTTCTAAAGGAAAAAAATGATGCTTCAGTGCTTCAGATTCACACTGTTGCTCAGAATGCAGGCCAGAAATACATCAGGTGTCTTCTCTGTACAGTGCTGTCCCCCTGGTCTCTCACTGCTGACTGAAGACAAGGGGTCTGAGCACCCTCTAAGTATCTGTGACAGGTGGGTGAGATGTGGAGGACCCCTGGAAAAGGACCTGCTCACCCAGTCTCTGAAGAGGGTGTGACTGGAACTGGGGACAGAGCCCTGGGGCTCCCAGAGCGCGCCTGGGCTGACAGTCTGAGGTTTCTGAGAGCAAATTCCCTGAGGAAGTCCCCTTTGCTGCTCTGCCCACAGGGGCTGGGCTGGCCCTAACCCACAGCTCACTGGGCAAGCTGCTCTAGGGGAAAACAATGGTGCAGGGCCACGCACCGGAGCAAGAGAGATCGGGAGGGAGGTCCAACACTGAGATCCTGGAGGGGGAGAGAGAGGAGAAAGGCAAAGAAAAAAACCCAAAAGGGTGGGGAGGGAAATGGCAGAGAGAGACAGAGAAGCAGAGCGCATTTTCCAGAGAGGGAGACTTGGAAAGAGGGAGTCTGACAAGCAGGCAGAGAGACAGGGATGCAGAGGCAGGATGGAGGGGCCAAAGAGAGCTGGGGCCAGACAGCGCCCCTGCCAGAGAGAGTGAATCAAAGAAAAAAAATCGGAGAGAGACAAACAGCGAAAACACAGCGAAACGTGCAGCGAGCCAGAGGCAAAAACAGAGGGGCCGGTGCAGCGAGCCAGAGGCAAAAACAGAGGGGCCGGCACACCCGCGGGCGCGCACAGGCGCGGCGAGGGGGACACGGCGGACGGAGGCGGCAGGAGGGGCCCGGGAGCCCAGAAAGAGGCTCCGATGGAAACAGAAACCCACGAGACGCAGCCAAGAGCACTCAAGGCGGCGTCCTGGGGCTGCCGCCCTCCGCTAACCCGGCCTCCAGGTGCCGCCCGCGGCCGGAGCCTTCTGCCCGCCCCTCGCCCCGGGGTGCTGCTCGCTCCACGGGTTCAGGATCCGGGACGCCCCCCGCCCCCCGTGGGTGAAATCGCTGGAGAAGGTGAAACTTCTCTGCTCCCAGGGCCCGGCCCACGGACCCCTGCGGCCCGGGCGCCCTGCCG